CCTCCTCCTCCTCCTCCTCCTCCTCCTCCTCCTCCTCCTCCCTCTCCTCCTTCTCCTCCTCCTCACATCCAGCACGAGCACCCGGCGATCCCAGCGAGGGAGGATCACCAGGACATGGGGACCCCCAGAGACCCCCCTCACCTGACACCCCAGGACGGGCTGAGCATCCCCCCTTTCCATGGGCTGTGACTGAGCTCAATTCCCAGGGGGAATAATGAACTGGGGGGGTTGAGGGATTCAAAGAAACCCCCCAGGGAGAGGCTGGAGCTCTGGCACGGCCACAGCATGGTTGCCCACCGGGCTGTGCCACCAGCCCTGCTGTCCCTTGTCCCCACACCTCGGTCTGGAGAGGGAAGGAGACACAGATGGGGTGGGACAACATGGGGACAGGAGGAGGGTGGGAGAGCAGCTGGCAGCAAAGCCCCCGGCCCTGGTGTGGTGTCCCCAGCCCTGGTGGGGTGTCCCCAGCCCCAGTAGGGTGTCCCCAGCCCCAGTGGGGTGTCCCCAGCCCCAGTAGGGTGTCCCCAGCCCCCCTGGCCACCTCACCTTGGTGACAGCCACGGCACAGGCGTGTCCCCAGATCTCGATGAGCTGCTGCCTCCCAAACCGATAATCCTCCAGCAGCTCCTTCTCGATGGCCTCGGCCTCTGCCTTGCTGGGGAGGGGCAGAGGGCACCAGTGAGCAGGGGGAGGACAGGGGTGCCCCTCACCACCCACGGGAAGGATTTGGGACCCCACTCTGCCCCCAGGGTGCTGGGCAGGGGGTCTCGGGACACCGGGCGAGCAGGTTGGGGGCTCGTAGGGCGTGGGGTGGGCACGGCCGGTGGCTCAGGGAGGGGGACGGGCTCGGCTGGCACGTTTGGGGGCCCAGCCCCGAGGGTGGGGGGGCTGGATCCGTGCGAGGCACGGCCCTGGCAGTGTCCCCGGGCTCGTGGGGCTCGGGCTGTTACATAAAAGCGAACAATGCTGCGGTTGTTCCGTCGCTGCCGAGCCGGGAGTTGGCAGGGCCGGGAGCCGCCGATGGGACAATAATTGCTCACATCTGTTGGCTTCACCTGCGCGCCTGGAACGGGCCGGGCCGGCTGCGGGCGGGAGCCGGGGATCCGACCCCCGGGAGAGGCCCAGGGAGGGAACCCACGGCCCTGCGGGGAGCTGGGGGGCACCAGGCCCAGCCCTGCCCCCGTTTTGGGGGGCACAGTCACACCTCACTCAGTCCCAGTCATGGAGAGGGGACCTGCCACCCCCCACGATGGGCAGGGATTGTGTGGTGCTCCTGGAGCTGGAGGGGAGAGGGGTTGGAATCCCTGGTTGGGATCCCTGGTTGGGGTCCCTGAGTGGGATCCCTGTGTGGGACCCCTGGTTGGGGTCCCTGGCTGCTCTGGGTGTCCTGGTAGAGCCCAGAGACCCTTTTGGATCAGGCATTCCCTTGTCATTCAGGCAGACCCACAGTGAGCCCTCCTCCCAGTCCCCCATTCCTGCATCCCATCCCCTGCCTGTCCTGAAAAACCTCCCAGAAAAACTTCATCCCTTTTCC